AATACATATTTCATATCAATAAAACAAAACTAACTGTCGAGATCCTCTCCCTCTTCAACTTCGCCATTTTGCATTAGTCTCGAAGGCGCTTGCGCTTCCTGCTTTTCCGAGGACTCGCTTGAGATCCTGCCCACCGTATGGTGTGGTTCTTGCGAAGTGACGCCACCTGGCTGGTTCAGCAAGCGGTGCTTATAATACACTTCTGTCGATTGAATTTCCCCTTGAAAATTTATTAAATGATAATCATTCCTCCATTTTTCAGAATTATAGAAGAAAGACTGACAACAGTAGAGAAAATCAGCTTTCAGAATTGAAGCAAAAAATTGTTCCAGGGTATAACACTAAAAACAAATTCTGAAGACATGGTGGAGAATTCCACGTCCAAGTAGGAACGGACACAGGCCCGTCAAGTTAATTTCAGACTGTTATTATTGAGACTGAATTTGATGGTCCGTATGCCACTATGCAAGGCCCGCCGAGGAAAAGGCACGAAGCAGAAAAATCAACCATAGGTTGACTACCTGTCTTCAGATCGAACGAACGGCCTTTGATATTCTGTACTTCTTTATCCAATGGCGAAAACCAATTCACAAGCGAACTCATCAGTGGAATTTGTCTCATCACACCCTAAAAATCCAGAAAATATTCCTTTTCCTCCGAGTCACTCTGTTCCAAAAACTACAAAAAAAAAAGGATTTTTGCTTTTAAGCATATGAACCACATTACTTCCTGCATGAGTCGAGCATCGTTTTCTCGCTTTAAATCTTCATTAGCAGCTTCAATTCCTCGGCGAATCATCTCAGCCAAACTGTCCATATACTATAAAATTGAATTTGATTATGACAACGAACCAGACAAGTCAAATGAGGCAAACGCACACGGTACTGTCTACCACTCATGTTGTGTCGCCTGCGGCTGCGATTTTTTCGAGCATCATCCACTCTGTTTAGTTTGGTTATCATTAGATGGGCCAGGCTAGAACGACGTTTCCCAGGATCACCGGGCGTTGCCAAGATTTGAATTTATAAAGCTTTGGCATTGCTCATGCCGTTATCAAGCATCACGTTACAGTTTCGATAAAACACGAAAAAAACCAAACATGCAGTTCCTGCAAACGATGAGTTTTCAAACATTTGACTTTAAGATTATATCGACTTATAAAGCACATTTCATCTTTTGGCTTATATAAATCTACCTGTTGTGAGTGCTCGATTTCTTTCCCACGCTTGGCAACTAAGTGAACAAGATCCGTGAGATCCTTCTCATCAGACAGCATGCCAAATTTGACACACGATACACCATATTCGGAACTTTCACCAGTTGAAAATGCTGTATCCACGGAACGTAGTGAATGCACCAATTCCAAGTTCAGATAAGACACCTGCAATGGGCGCTTTCGGACAACCACAACCCTTGCAATTCGGTGAAATGAGTGCTTGTGCATACCTGTTGGCGCTGTTTTGCATTCCATTCATCCATTGGAGTTTCCCTGACAATCGATGGTACGTAACTGCAAATAATCGTCATATGCAAGGAGGTCAAAATCACTTCAAATGGGACATGCATTCCTCTGAAGCTTAACAAAACAGCAAACATTCACCAGAAATCTCTCCAAACATTTCCTCTAGGGAATGCTCTGCACTTCCTAATTTCCAGTTAAAATTGTTGCTGCGAACCAGTAAGGAACTGAACTTCTCAATGACACGTTTTCGAAGCACGGGAATTTTGACTGGAATAAAGGAACAAACCTACCAACAAACCTAGAGGCACAGAATCAAATTATATGGCGAATCACAATAAAAATCCCTGAACTTGTTTTGATTGGTTCCGTTTGCCCATAAAAAAAGTTGGTCTTTTGTGCGTTTTTGCCGTGCAGCGCTAGAGCACTTCAACAGGCAGCAAAAACGCATGTTGCGACAACTCTGCCTGTGAGTATGTATGTGCATGTTTGTGTATGTGTGTGTTCGTCTGTCCGGGTATTTCAACTCAGCAGTCAAGCAAACTCCGGCACCAAAATTTTGCCGACAGGATCCCCAGCCAAGTAACACCCCAGGTTCGTGAAACCAACCTCACGTACGTCAGGGCCCCGCGTATGGCCAAGTGAAGGTTTTGGGGGGAAAACCGCCAGCTCGGTAACCAGGGAAGCTGGGAGGCTGAAACTTTAGGGGAATGTTCATAACTCATGCACGACTGAAAGATTTGAAATTCAGCACTTTAGAACCGTCCGGGACCCACGTACGGACATGTGAAAGATTAGGCGGGAAAATTGCTAGCTCGAGAAGAAAAGCTAGGAAGCTGAAAATTAAGGGGAATGTCTACTATCCGTGTACGATTAAATTCAATTCTTCAGAACCGCCCGTATCTCATACACGAGCGCGTGAAAGTTTCAATGGGAAAATTGCTTCGGAAACGAGAAAAGATGGAAGGCTGGTATTTTAGGGGAATGTTGCTTACTCATGTGCGATTAAAGATTTCAAAATCAGCTCTTATAGTGCAGTCTTTTTCGCGCACTAGCAATTTTCCGTTTGTTAGGTTACTGAAGCTGACACCAACAACTGACATGCCACATAGCTGCACAATTAACTACCTGAAATTCGAGGGCCAGTATTTCACAAATTTTAGCTACTGTGATCCCTTGCGATTTTGCTACAGCGGGAAATAGTGCAAAAACACATGATCACACCGGCCCGCCTGGTGCGTTCTAGCCTGGGTTAATTTACAGATAGAAGATCTTGATGATCCTAATTCCCGAGTGTCAGGTAGGAATTCGCCGAGTTATTTCATCGACTTTCAAATTCTTTAGCGGCTAAAATTAGGCACTTTTTTCAGCAAGTAAGCCAGTAAGTTAAAAAGTAGAC